GATGAGGACTCTTCTCTCTGTAAGTAATATTTTGTTGTTATTTTCAGGTGCAACCTTCCTCCTCTGGAAAATGAATTTAAGAGTGATGTTGGCATGAAGACTAACCTTGTGACAGCAAACCCAAGCATCTTAACAAAGAAGTGAGCCAAGAGTTACTCTAACATTGAACTGACCTGTTAGTTTTGTCTTGTTTCTTTAACTAATATATTATTTTGCAGGTATGGGTCACTGATGGCACGTCGACGGGCGTTTGTAGACAGTCTCCAACAGTATGGCAACTCCCTGCTCCTCTTCCCTTGCTTCTCTTCTAGTGGTAGTCGTGCAGTGTGTCAGCGGGCTGTGTATGCCATTGAAGACATGGAAATTCCTATCCAACCAATCTTCACAAACCCTCAGTACTTACAAAGTATGGACAAATTCTGGAAATCTCAGGGGGTAAAGGGACTTCGGGCTAGCACTGGAGCTTATATGATTAGTCTGGCTTTGGAATTATGTGAAACAGTTCATCTTTATGGATTCTGGCCATTTAGTAATCATCCATATAAGCTCTTTCCCCTGACTAACCACTACTATGATAATGTACCCTATAATAGTAAAATCCATGCAATGTCAGATGAGTTTTACTACTGGGTGCAACTGCACAATAAGGGCATTCTCAAGCTTCATCTTGGAGACTGTAAATCAGATCAGGTCTAGTTTATATGATGGAATAAAATAAAAAAGAGGTACTCTTCCTTTGAAAGAGCCAAGAGCCTTCCTTTCCACTTCCTCCATGTAAAGGTTGGCTGCAATAGGTGACACGGGGGAATTTGAAGTATGTTGTGGTAAGGCAGAGGTCTAACAGTGTGCAGATCTGATTGGGTATGAAGTTGGTCCTGTCCTCCAAGGAGCTGTCTTCTTGTAGTTGTTTTCTGACAGTCCCCACGGCCTCCGTGGTGGATATGCAAGTGAAGAGAGAGACTACATCAAAGGACACCATGGTTTCATCTGGATCCAGGGTAAGTTTCTGGACCTTGTCGGTGAAGTCGGTGGAGTTCTTGATGTGGTGTGGGGTGTTCCCCACGAGAGGTGCAAGGATGGTAGCAAGGTGTTTTGCAATGCTATAAGTGGCTGAGTTTATGCTACTGACTATGGGTCGGAGTGGGACATCTTCCTTGTGGATTTTAGGAAGTCCGTAAATGCAGGATATGGCATCCCCTGGATAAAGGCGGTGATATGTAAGGCGGTCAATGATTTTTCAAGGTCCTGAAGGCAAGCTATAACTTTCTTTTTGAAGCTGCTTGTGGGGTCTCGCTTTAAGGCTTTGTAGGTATGGTTTTCACCGAGGAGAGTAGTGATCTTTGTGTGGTAATCTGTAGTGTTTAGGACCACCGTTGTCGACATAGTGGACAGAATTCCCAACATTCTGGCATCCCACCCACAGGCCAACCGGCTCATCATCCACATCGGCACCAATGACATCCCCAAACAGCAATCTGAGCTGCTGAAG